GTAGGGAAATCATTATGGTTTTAAATCTTTTTTTTCTTTTTTTTTGCAATTTTAAATTTATAGCCTATTTAAACTTTATTCCCAGTAAAAGTATTTTATTTTTTAAGAAAACTTAATACTGTTTTTAATAAGAATTAAGGAAAATTACTAGCTTAGGTCAACTTCTGCAGAAGCAGACCCTGAGATCAGGACTTATGTGCTAGTGAGTTATTAAGGAGGAGATCTCAGGAGAGATCTACAAGGGAGCCAAAGAAGCAGGAAACAGGACTGGGGAGGGGAGGAAGCCAAGTAAGTGTGTCATCTCAGGAAAAGTCTCCCACTGAGGGTAGTTCAGCATGATACCCCACAGGTACTTTGGAGTGTAAGTTCTATCTGAGCATTGACCTTGACCCAAGAGAAGGGAGTTGGCCTTTCATATTCCTATATGAGTCTTTGGCAGAATCTAATCTCAGCATCTTCAAGTGTTATTCTCCAAAGGACAACTTCCAAAGCTGGCTACTGGAATGCCAAACACATGAACGTTTATCTTGTTTCCTTCTCAAAATAAACACTAAATTATCAAAATACAAGGATCTTATACAGTAACTGAGGAAAACAGAGAGACTTATCATAAGTCATATGCCTTGTTTTATTAATCAATGTTTTTTTCTTAATTATTTATTTATTTATTTGGCTGCACCAAGTCTTAGCTGTGGCTCGCAGGATCATTTTTAGTTGCGGCATGCAGGATCTTTAGTTGCGGCATGCGATCTCTCAGTTGCAGCATGTGGGATCTAGTTCCCTGACTAGGGATCGAACCCGGGAGTCTTAGCCACTGGACCACCAGGGAAATCCCCATTAATCGATGTTTTGCTTTACCTCATGAGTATGAAATTGTTCTTTCACTTCTTCTACATCATTAGAAATCTCTCCTTGTGCTTGCAGTGTGTCCTCAGCTGAAAGAAGCCATGAGAGTACTTCTTCTAAAGCTGTCTGGTAACTGTCCAGGTTTACTTCAGTCTCCATCAATGAACTGCCAAATGACTTGTCTTCAGGAGCTTCCAAACGCTGAACAATAAAACAAATTGGGTGTTATACAATTAGTATCTTGGCAGACTGTTCCAGTACATTAAATGATAAATCGAATGAAATATTTAAAATGCTAGAAATGTCCACTTGCATTATCAGAGACACACACAGCAGAAACATACAATAACGAGCCTGCATTTTAACATCCTCACAAATATACACACAAATTCTCAAATGGCAGTTGGAATCCACTTCAAATTAATATTTTATTAAAGCTCTTCTAGATTACTATGAAGAGTGAATTAGTACATCATCTCTTCACGCTGTATTTTAAATGCCATGGATTTTCATCCATAGGTAAATTTTTTTAGTTCATATTTTCAATCCTTCACATATACATTATTGGTATTATATTTACATAATTTTTGCAATAACATTAAAGGAAACATCTCTTCCCAAGATCCCCTAATAAAATATTTCTAAAAATTCACAGACAAGTTATCAGTATGAAAATAAGTGGGGGAAAGGTAAAATTTAAAAAGAAATAACCTCATTCACACATCTGAAATTTCTAACAGTATAATGACTTCTGTGAGTTTAAGCCTTTATTTCCAGAAGGCCATGGTTTAAATAACAAGACATTATCTTAGGCAAAGCAAACTATGAAGTATTTGCTACCAGATTTATTTAGCAGGATGTTAACTGAGATTCCCAACAGTTGTCTTGTAATTTCTCCTTGGATCCTAAAGCTGAGAACAATGGTAACAAAGTGTTCATAATTCTAAAGAGAAGATCCAGGCCACCTATGAAGGAATTGCTAAGAAGGGACCACAAAACTGTCCCACCACCCTTAATCCACTGCATAGCTCAAAGGTGTGTAAGAGGAAACAAGGAGACTGGAGAAATCTGGTGACAAAAGATTCCCCTGGAGTGCGATGCACGTCCATAACTTCCACCACCTCAAGCCAAGTAATGGAGACCTCAAGAGAATCACCTGTAGAGCTGACGGTAGCTTCTAGGATGGAATATTGACCTCTAAACCTGGCTGTGTATTTGCAGAGACTCAGGAGCTATGGTACCAGTACTACCAAGTGATGGGAGAGAGCTCTTGGGGTAAGCTATGGGCCTGCTGCTTTAACCTGAAGGCAATTATCAACAGCAAAAATTTGAACAAATAAGAAAATATGCACAAATTTTTCTTTAGGCCAACTGCACTCATGGCAGGTTGCTGGGCTTTAGAAATCCTGAGAAGGCCCACACTCAAGAGGGGTTCCTGCTGGGTTAAGGGACACGGGCAAATAGTTGAAGTAGTCAGAGCAAAAATATTGGAGAAATATTTGGAGAGAAATCTTCTGAACACCCTATAAAGCAAGCAAGCAAGCACTGGGCCCTAACAAACAGGATTTTGCAAAGGAAACAAACGGCACTGTAGAACAACCAGAAACTACTTGGGGCGGGGTCGGGGGGCAGGGTTCATGACCTTGCCTAGAGAAAAATTCATCCTTTTGATCGTTCTTCCCTGCCATGCCTGCCTTGAATTTCCAGTCCCCAGCAATTCTGGGCCTTATCCCACTGAGCTGCTAGCACCAACTTAATTGTGCTCTTCTGATAAATGTTCCAATGTTGAAACTTTAATATGATAAATTTCTCTATTAAGTCCTTTAGGATAAAAAAGCATAGTGGCAGTCTTTGGTGCAGTATTTTCATCAAATGATGCACTCTTAATCTATTTCTAGAGAACTGGCAGAAATAATGTCATCCTGTTAAGTCAAAATCACCCAACTCCAGTATCTCAAACAGAACATAAATGCCCCAAGAGGGCTAGTCGCACTGGCCCTTCCCAAGGTCAAGGCGAGTTCTGAAGGTCTGAGGAGTTAGAACAAGTTTCATGGTGCATCCCTTCTCTCTACCCCTAAATACTATAAATAATAAGTATAAAAGTCATCATTAAGAGGAAAAAAGTCACAAAAACGTAGCCTGGGAGATGTGTGTAGACAGAACCAGCTTCATGGCTGGGCAACCTGAACAGTTTTACATTGCCCAAGACTCAGAACGACCCCTTTCTTGCCTTGCTTGTTTTATCTACTTTTTGACATTGCCGTCTTAAAATTCTTAATAATTTTATCTTTGAACTTGGGTTTTGTAAGTGAAGTCCAATGGGGTGATGAAGTATGCATGTGAGCAGAGGAGATAAGTGCAATAGGTGTGTTTGCCCCATTTGCATATAGTGTTTGTGATGTCCCATGAGCCTAGAATTCTGGTGGACCCATGACATGTGGGAGTTGAGCAGACTCAAAGTGAGCGGAAGGTAACTATGACTGAATGAGAGGGGCACTGACAGCCCCAGGAAGTCATGCTTTCAGTTTGAATGGGAACTTGCTTCCAATGCAGAAAGAAGGCAATCCTAAGAAAACATGAACAATCAAAGAACCCTATCATATCCTTTCTTACTCGTATTTCTTTCCTGTATTAGCCAACCATTTATGCTGATACTGATGACAGAGAAAGAAAGGGAAAGATAGGGCAAGATGGTTCCTTTCCTTTCACTCCTTCCTTAACTCATCAGTAAGCTGAAGGCACAGGACATGGGTAGAACTTAAACCTATCAAGAAGTGAAATAAAAACAGCTTAGTTGTACAATGTTTCCATGTTAAGAATGAAATACATATGCATGCACAAGCTCTGAAATATAAATTGTGCGATGCTGGTGATTCTGCTTGAGTTAAACGATCTTATGTTTGCATTTACAACTGCAATTGCACAATATAACAATGGGCAGTAAAACTCATGCTAATACTTTAAAATTTTAATTTTCTGTATTCAGTATGATGTCAAATAGCAAATAAAAAACACGATGGCAAGTTGAGAGAAAGACCATAGAATAAAGTAAACAGCTTTATATTTTAGTAATTTTAACAGCACTTTCCTTCCTGCAGTTTTGAACAAGGGGCTCCGTATTTCATTTTCAACTGGGCTGTACAAATTGCTAGCCAGCCCGGTATGTAGGTGGAAAAAAAGTACAGTCCACTCCTGGATATTTTGCCTTCCCTGGGTTATGGGTGAGAAGAGATGGGACATTTATTATGTACAATAAAAAGTGGTTATAAAACCCAGGGGCTTTGGAGGCAAACAATCAGTGTTTGAATCTTGTCACCCTGGTAAAGTTACTTAGCCCCATCATTAGCCTCAGCTTCCTCCTTTGTAAAATGAGAACAATAATACTTTCCTAAGATTGTCGTAAGAATTAAAGGAGAGTATATAAAGTGTTTGGCAGAATACCTGATCTTGTGCAAGAACCCAATACAGTAGGCGATAGCTATTAATTATTATTCGATTCTTCTACACACAAGAACCATTTTGAAACCCAACCTCCTCCAAGGTTACCTTCATAAGTCACTGTCCAGATTTCAAGGGCCAGATAATTCCTATAGAAAAAATGACCCAGGAAACTTCTAAGAGCAAGCATCAATTAAATCAAACCTTTCTGAACCTGAACCTCAATCTAGTTCCTATTTAAAAGTTCTAAAAATTATTAACAATCTTGAGTTCAAATAATCTTTTGCAAATGATAAATTGTAAACAACACTATTACTCGAGTAACACAATACTATATTTTACTACTGTACAATTTGGATTAAAAAAGTAAACAGCTCATGATTTACTGATATTTACAGAGGCTTGAATTTTTGGAGAAAATTTTAGAAGGCAAATCTTTATACTTTAGGACAAGCTGTCTAGCACCCATAAATTCTGAATCTAAAAGTTTTGCCTGAGGATGCTCATAAAACAAAAACTTTGCAAAGACAGCTATATTAAAGGTAAATTCATATATGAATAAGCTATGTAAAATTACATAAATAACTCAATTAATCATTATTTATATCTATAAATCAGCTCTACATATATACATGATTATGGTCAAAATTGTCAGCTAGACTCTGAGTAATTTTTTCTCTGTCTAGACCACTGTTTTTCAAATTTGTAAGTCATGACCCATCAGTGATTCATGAAATCATTTTAGTGGGTCATGACCAGGAATATTCTATTTAAAATTAAATAGAATAAAAATACCATTCTGTGTAATTTATATTAAGGACTAGATTCTTTAGTGAATTTTTGTTTCAGATATGTATATATGTGTGTGTGTGTGTGTGTGTGTGTGTGTGTGTGTCTATGTATAAATGTATATGTATATATGTCCCGAATCAAGATGAAAAAAAAAATTTATAGCTCATGGATAAAAACTGGAAATGGTTCTAGAATTTCAGGTAAACCCATGAAAGAAGAAATTTGCTTGAATTCCACATTTGCAATAAAATCCTTGGAAAAACACATATTCTTTTTATTTATTTATTTTTTTGTCCATCTTTGAAAGAGAACACATAGGCTTATGCTTTTGGTTTTAGTTTCCCAAAATACGTATTCATTGTCATAGTATTACATATTTCACTTTAGCTTGTCACTAGTTCATACATATTATGGCAAAGAAAATTTTCGAGGAAACTTGATCTTTGCTTCTTATAGAAAAAGATCTGTGCATAAGAAAGAGACACCAATCATTTCATGAATGGAGATGCTAGGATCAACTGGAAATAATTGTTTTCCTATGCTTTGATCTTATTTTAATTTCTGTCTTTATAAAAGTAGTTTACGTTTTCAGTACATTGGGCAAATAATGATTCAGATGAGAGGCATAACAATGGATGGATGAAACAATTCTGGTTGCTTTCAAAATTAAGAACACTAAAATTTATTCAACATTACCCACATACTTCAAAGGCTTAATTACTACCCTTTTGCACGAAGAATTACTAGATATTGTCACCTGTGTTCCTTGAAGATGTTGCTAATGCATGAAGGTGAAGGAGTAGACAGCAGAAGAGTAAAGTAATGGAGGAAGACAAATAAGTATATGTGTTAGTCCTGCAATGTCCAGGACAAAGGTCTGGAAACTCATCTCTAGTAATAGAAATTGACATAATAAAACAGAGAATGATAGGCTTGACATGACTCCATACATAAATATTTTTTAAAAACCA